GGCGCGGTTTCGGTTTCATTTTCATTTTCGGTCTGAGAGAAAATTCCCGGGTTGGGGCGGGGCAGGCTCTCACACCATCCAGAGGATGTACGGCTGCGAAGTCGGGCCCGACGGGCGCTTCCTCGGCGGGTACACGCAGCACGCCTACGACGGCAAGGACTACATCGCCCTCGCCGAGGACCTGAGCTCCTGGGTGGCGGCGGACACTGCGGCGCAGATCACGCAGCGCAAGTGGGTGGAGGCCGGCGCGGCAGAGCGCTACAGGGCCTACCTGCAGGGGGAGTGCGTGGAGTGGCTCCGCAGATACCTGGAGAACGGGAAGGAGAGCCTGCAGCGCGCAGGTACCGGCCCTGGAGACCTCCCATCCGCGCTCTGGCCGGGCAGCTGCCTCCAGGGAGGAAAGCGGGACCCTTCCCGCAGCACCGCGGGCCTCTCCCTGCACGGGAAGAGCGCTCCTGGGACTTCACAGCTGAGAGCAGGGCGCTGTCCTGAGCCCCTTCTCTCAGGAGAGGAGAGTCTGTCCCAGCATGGAGGGAGGACCCCGAGGTGCCCCTCACCCTGCCCTTCAGGAGGCTGTGCCCCTGCCCTCCCTCGGCCTGTCCCTGCCCCACACCCGGGGTCTTTGGAGGTCTCACTCCACCTATTCTGGTCTCTCAGTCTCCACCCTCTCAGGATAGAGGTCCCTTTCCCTCCCCAGACACCTGGAGCCTCCTTCCTCGGGCCCCCTCACCCCAAGTCTAGAACTATCTGAGGACAGATTATCCCACTTGCCTGTGCCCAGCCTGCTCTCTGAGATTTACAGTCACCCCAACCCTCCTTGTCCTGTCCATTCTCAGGACGGTCACATGAGTGCTGCTGCAGCTGCCCAGGAAGGATGCACAGTGCCTGAATGTTCCCCTCTTCCTCCAGATCTCCCAGAGACACACGTGACCCATCACCCCATCTCCAAGGAAGAGGTCACCCTGAGGTGCTGGGCCCTGGGCTTCTACCCTGCGGAGATCACCCTGAGCTGGCAGAGGGATGGGCAGGACCTGACCCAGGACATGGAGCTGGTGGAGACCAGGCCCGATGGGAGTGGAACCTTCCAGAAGTGGGTGGCTGTGGTGGTGCCTTCTGGAGAGGAGCAGAAGTACACGTGCCGTGTGCAGCATGAGGGGCTGCCTGAGCCCCGCACTCTGACATGGGGTAAGGGGGCCACAGGGCCTTCTTTCAGGGGAAGGAGGAGACGTCCTGTCCCCCCTGAGAGCTCAGGGCTAGCACCTGGCACAGGACCAGTCACCGTCTCTTCCCTTCCCAGAGCCCTCTCCTCAGTCCACCTTCCCCACTGGAGGAGTCTCTGCCGCCGCAGTAGGCGTTGCTGCCGTCATCGTTCTCCTTGTGGTCACTGCTGTGGTGTCTCTTGTGATGTGGAGGAGACAGAGGGCAGGTAAGAAGGGGTCATGGCCTGAGTATTCAGGGGTTGGGCCCAGGGAGAAGTGTGCTCACCTCTTTATTGTGAACACAAGGCACACTGATGGGTGCGTACCCGGCTGGGTCCCAGACTCTGTTATAAAGCACAAGGAACAGGAAGGACAGATTTGTAGCCCAGTTGTGTGTGGTGAGGCGGACCCGATTCCCAGCAGTCAGGGGCAGAGCGCAAGGTCCCTGCTGAGGACGGAGCTCTAGCAGGGCCGTGGGCACAGGTCCCGCAGGTGTCCTTTTCTCCTGCCTCCTGATCCTTCCCTGGGTCTCAGGCCAGTTCTGGAAACTTCCCTGGGTCTTCCTGTGATCTAGGCTGTCATGACCTCACCTCCTCCCTGGCTTCTCACAAGGCATTTGCTCCCCACAGGTGTGAAAGGAGGGAGCTACGCTCAGGCTGCAAGTAAGTGTGTATCAGAATCCACGGGATCCCCACCCCACAGTTCCTCCTGTGGCCTCCTGTCCTGTGGCCTCTGACTGCACCCTGCTATGTTTTCACCCCAGGCAGTGACCACGCCCGGAACTCTGACTCATCACTCATGACCTGAAAAGGTGAGACCTGCAGCCTGCAGAGGGAGAGGGGCGTGCGGAGGGCACAGGCCTGGGTGACATGCTCTGGAGTTGAGCCTTTTGGGAGCAGGCTGTGCGGGCTGTGGCCATGGATACCACCTGCCCTGGATGTGCTTAGGGCTCCCTGTGGTGTCGCAGGAGGGAGCTGGCCGTGTGGGATAAGTGACAAGACTGTTGCCCTTGAGAACCCCGATGCTCTGTCTGCAGATGGCTTCTGACTGGGGCTCTGTTCCTTTCGGCCCAATGGGGACCTGGAGAGATTGGCTCGCCCTGTCCCCACAGTGACCTGTGTCCCCTCCTGCCCAGCTGTCCTGTCTGCAGCGGCGGGGCTGCGCTTCTGCACCGCTGTGCCAGCATCGTGGAGCCCTGAGCTGCTGCTGCTCCTTCCCTGCTCTGCGGGGCCCCCTTCACCTCTCTTCAGCCACAGTCGTCCATATTTTTATTTGTTCTTTCTTTTCTTTGAACTCACTTTATAGCAAGGCTGGCTTTGAATTCAGTGGTCCTCCTGTCTCAGCCTCCCAAGTGCTGGGATTCAGGGTGCTCCACCAGGCCTGGCTGCACCTCCCTCTCCTAATGGTCTGCTGCCAGCAGCCAAGATTGTACCAGCCGCAGCCCAAGCTCCCTGCCCGCAGGGCTTCCTGGACACAGCAGTGTCCTGGTGGGGAGGCAGGTGGGGTGGAGAACACGCAGCTCTCCCCGGGATCTCTGCTGTCTTTGACTTGGATGCTGCCGTTTTAATTAAGGCCCTCAAAGCACTTGCTCAGCTGTTGGGGACGGGGTCGGTGATGTCAGTGTGCTGCGGGTCCCCACGCCCCTGCTCTGTAAGGACCCCTAATAAACGCGTTGCCTGGCCCTGCTGGACGTGTCTGAGTCACTGTTGCATCCTAGACACTCTCTTCCGTCATGTCCCGTGTTCCTCCTGTGAGGACCCTGGAAATTCGCACCCCTGAGAGTCAGAATGAGGGACGCTTCTTCCCACTCCTGACCGCAGGCGCTGGCTGGCTAGAGGATCCCTGCAGTGTGCGCGCAGAGGCTCAGGGCAGCTCCCAGGCCTTCCCTCAGTGTGCAGGGCTTGCCGGGCTTTGACGTGGTCACTGCCCGCAGGGTCGTCTCCTGTGTCCTCGTCCCTCCAGTAGACCCTTGTCCCACCCTGAGCTGACATCACAGGGCCTTAGACACCCCAGAACCTTGTGCTGTGTCCCAGCCTGGGGACAGCGCCGGCTTCCTGTGGCCAGGCCAGCGCAGGCGCAGCTGGAGGCGGCCCCCGAGTCCTTCCTGCGTCTCAGTCTCTCACAGGGGAGCCAGCCTCGCTCTGGCCCGGAGGCTGCTCTCGTGCTCTTTGCGTGTTCCCGCCTGAGGTGGCAGGCGTGTGTCCTGCCGGGTCCCCAGAAGGCCTCAGTGGCTGCTGCGCGCACGAGCCTCTCTGCACTTAGGGCTGTGTCCTGGCCAGCTGTCTGCAGTCTGTGACCCCAAGAGTGATCCCAGGAGGAGCGGAGGACGGTGCCATCGCTGCTCAGCTGGGCCTGCTTAACTTCCTCCTCTGCTCGCCCAGCCTGCCCTCCCTTTAGCCCTGGTAATCCCAGCACTGGCTCCAACGGGAGCTTAAGGGTGCACGGGGCAAGGCAGGGTGGTGGTGCACGCCTGTAATCCCAGCACTCGGGAAGCTGAGGCAGGAGGATCCTCAGGAGTTCAAGGCCAGCTTGAACTGTGTAGTGAGAAGCTGTCTCTAAAGGGAAAACAAAGACAAAAACAAAAACAGGTCATTTGGTTTTTTGTTTGTTTGTTTGTTTGTTTGTTTGGTATGGTAGCAGGGATTGAACTCACAACAAGCAGGCGCTTATTCTACTGAGCTATCTATCTCTCCAGCCCTTTAAAAATTTTTTTTTTTCGTTTTCTTCTACTAAAGAAAACAGAATCCATTGCGTGGAAACTTTTACCTCAAAGTCAAATGAACTTGTGTGGTGTGTAGAAGGGCTGGTGGAAAGGCAGCAGGAAGGGGGACAGCGCTTGGCGGAAGTCCCAGGGGCCCTGCACTCTTGTGAGAACTCACTCTGTGGCCCTTGGACTGGGCTCTGTTTCCGAAGATCATGAGTCTACACAGCCACTGGAGGGGCAGGAACTGCAGCTGTGTATGCTGGTTGTGTGAGTGCGTGCGTGTGTGTGTGTGTGTGTGTGTGTGAGAGAGAGAGAGACAGAGAGACAGAGAGACAGAGAGAGACAGAGAGACAGAGACAGAGAGGCCGAGGGACAGAGAGAGAGTGAGCGCTCGTGGGGTGGACAAGGAGGTGAGGCACCTGAGTTAGGGTACCAGCCCAGACTCCCTCTGCTGCTTTCCTCTCTCCCCCACACCTGTCAAGTGATTGATTCCCCCCCAACCGGGGATCCGGGGATTGAACTCAGGCCCTTGCACTTGCCAGGGAAGCACTTATGCCACTGAGCCATCTTCCCGGCCCTCCTGTCAGGTGGTTTTAATTCTTCCTTCCCCTCCACACTGTCAAAGCTCCTCCTGTTGGGGCGGTGGGCAGAGTAGGAGAGGAGCCAGGAGGGGCAGCCTCGGGACCAGGGGCGGCTGGGGAGGTGGAGAGGAGACCATGCTCCAGGATGGCGTCGGGAATGCTGAAGCCCCCCACTGTCTGCGGGCTGCCCCCTCCCCCTCCGCCCTCCTTCCCTTTGCACTCCGGCCATGCCTCCTCTTGTGTCCTCCCGGTCAGCAGGCCCTCTGCACCCTGCTGTCCCAGCCCTCCAGCGAGCCTCGCTGTCCTGGTCCCTTCGCCCTCACCCCGTCTGCAGCCTCTCAGGTCTTGGTTAGGCTGCCGTCACAGCCTGGGGGTCCTCTCCAGCCCGGAGTGCTGCAGAGCTCTTTCTCCGAGCTGTGCCCCCCCTGTTGTCACCATGGCCCCACTCACCGCCTCCTGCCTGGCACCCTGCCCCCACTGCTCTCCCCTGTCTGCCCTGCCCCTGCAGGAATCCCCTCATCTGGGAACATTCCTGAGACCCCCAGGTGAGCTGGGCAGTGTCAGGGAGGAGCTGGGCTGAGGCTGGAAGGGCCAGGAGGGAACCAGGGCACAGACAGTGGAGCACGGCTTGGGCACCGTGGGGAGCACCGTGGGCCTTCAGCAGGGAGCCCTGGAAGCCTCCTGAGAGAGAACCTGAGGGCAGCTCAAAGAGTGAGGAGAAGCGAGTGGGAGCCCAGGTGAGGAGAGCCCCACACGGAGCTGGGGTGCGGAACACAGATTTGGGGCTGGAGACCCTGCTGCTCCTAGCAGGAGAGAGTGTCCTGCCTGTGACTGCTCTGTCATCAGAGGGAGTGGAGGGAGACATTGGGGGAGAGAGAGGGTGGAGGAGAGGAGAGGGGAGAGACAGAGAGAGAGAGAGAGAGAGAGAGAGAGAGAGAGAGAGAGAGAGACAGAGACAGAGACAGAGACAGAGACAGAGAGAGAGAGAGAGAGAGAGAGAGAGAGAGAGAGAGAGAGAGAGAGAGCTGGGCTCCTGGAAGATACCAAACTGGTCAGCAGCAGAGAAAGAGCCCCTCTGAGACTCGGTGTCCAGCGCTGGGATAGAGCACTGTGAGGAACAGAATGGAGAAGTGGGTTCTAGCAAGGATTGAAGGCCACGGGGGAGGAAAGAGAGAAAGTTCAAGAATGTATGGCCAAGCATGGGCAGATGGTCTGGCTCTTACTGCCCTGAGATCATCCCGGCTCCTCCTCGTCTCCTACATGTGTGTGCAGTGTGACAGGGCAGGGGCAGGAGGGAGGGACAGGGTAACGTAGACACGGCCAGGAAGGAAGGGGGCCTGGCCCGGATGTCTTCTGTGTAAACGCCTCAGGCAGGGGTCACACTAAACTGAACCCTCAGTCTCTCCTGCTGCTAAGGTGAGGAGGGCGCTGTGCTGGACGCCGTCCCTTACCCTGCTGCGCTGTCAGAGCTGCGCTTTGCGGACTTACGATTTCCGTTTGAATTGAGCATAAGCACCCGCAGCAGATTGGCAACATTTTGGGGACCACAAAGGAACTCGTTTTTCAAGGTCCCCAGTAAGAGGACAGACACTGGAGGTCATCAGCACAGACCTTGTGGTGGGGGACAAACGGCCTCCTGAGGCTTTGCGGTGTCACCCACAGCAGGAGGTAAGAGCCTCACCCTGGGTGACCCCAGCTGTGTAGCCTTCTGCACCTTAGGAACTAAAACGCCATTGGGGCTGAAGAGCTGTGCGCCACGCAGCGCTAACCAGAGCTGTGTGTTCCGGGCACTGCAAATGAATGCGTGTCGGCACACGTGGTAGCCTGTGTAGGGCGCTTCCCTGAAAATAGCACCTCAGCGGATCCTGCGCTCTGGTCATCTCCAAGCGAGGGCCCCTGCCAGGCGGGACAGCAGACCCCACTCTCCTCCTGCCGAGCGGCTGCTCCGTGGTGCAGGGGAGGCTCGGGGACCGGAGCTGCTGTGCTGAGCTCTAGCTGCTGAGGATGATGCCTTCCAAGGAAGGTCGCATGCTCTGGGATCCAGAAAACAGTTCGTCCTTAGAAAAAAGTTCGTCCTTAGAAAACAGTTTGCATACAAAGTTTATTAGCGGTCACGTTCAGTGCTATACGCTGCGCTGACTTGGTGCTGTAATAGTGCCGGGACTCGGTCCCCGTTAACCAGGAGCCGCACAGAGCTCTTCCCCATCTTAACGCGAGCACTTCAATCTTCTGATCACTCTCCTGCGCCAGCCTCGCTACAACCCCAATCTCTGCTGCTGCTGCAGCTTCACTTCTCCCTGGATGACAGGTGACTGGAGGGAGGTAAGAGGGAACCATAGACAGGACATCTGTGACCTGGTAAAGTGCCCGTGAGGCTCGTCCCTGCTGCTGCGTGGTCAGTGGCCTGTGTCCTCAGAGACGGAGATTCGGAGTCTGTGCTCGCCTTCCCTTGACCGGTAGGTTCGGTGAGGTAGAGAACACCTTCCTGGATGGCGAGGTCTCAGTTCCAGGCACGGCTCCCCCAGCCCTTGAGTGTCCCTGCGCCGTTCTCTGACCTGTGGAGTGGGTTGTGCGTCAGCAGGGCAGGTGCTGCTCCTCCTCGTTACGGCTCCGCTCCTGTGATCTGTCCTCTTCCTCCAGTTCTTTCCAGATTTTTGGTTTCCTTTTTTCTTTTTTTCCTGCCTGACCTGGTCTGATTTCACTTATTTATGTTCTGCTTGATGCTCACAGGATTTCCTGAATCTATATGTTCAAGGCTTATGTCTGATTCTGGAAACTTTTGGTCACCAATTCTTTGGGTTTTCCTTTCTTTTTTTTACTGGAGACTGAACCCAGGACACAGTCCCCAGTAGGCAAGTGCTCTCCCGTTGACTGTATCCCAGAACCTCCTACTTTGTGACAGGGACGCAGAAGCTGCTCAGGTGGCCAGAGCTTGGGATCTCCCTGCTCAGTCTCCGCAGCAGCTGGGGTC